GCTTAAGACTTTGATTGAGAATTAGGTCAGATTTCGCATACTCCTTTTTTTTGAATAAATAACTCTATACTTCTTTACTTATTCTGCACTGACTCTAACACTTTTTTTTTTTTTTACATAATCTTCGCTTAAGACTTCAATTGAGAATTAGGTTAGATTTCGCATACTTTTTTTTTTTGAATAAATAATTCTATACTTCTTTACTTATTCTGCACTCTTTCTTTTTTTACATAATCTTTGTTAAGACTTTGATTGAGAATTAGGTCAGGTTTTGCATACTCTTTTTTTTGAATAAATAATTCTATACTTCTTTTACTTATTCTGTACTGACTCTAACTCTTTTTTTTTTTACATAATCTTCACTTAAGATGTTAATTGAAAATTAGTTTAGGTTTCATATACTCTTTTTTTTGAATAAATAATTCTATACTTCTTTACTTATTCTGCACTCTTTTCTTTTTTTATATAATCTTCGCTTAAGACTTCAATTGAGAATTAGGTCAGGTTTCGTGTACTTTTTTTTTTTTGAATAAATAATTCTATACTTCTTTACTTATTCTGCACTGACTCTAACTCTTTTTTTTTTTATATAATCTTCGCTTAAAAACATCAATTAAGAATTAGGTCAGGTTTTGTATACTCTTTTTTTTTTGAATAAATAATTCTATATTTCTTTAACTTCTTTACTTATTCTGTACTCTTTACATAATCTTCACTTAAGATGTCAATTGAGAATTAGATCAGGTTTCATGTACTCTTTTTTTTGAATAAATAATTCTATACTTCTTTACTTGTTCTATACTCTTTTTTTTTTTTTTACATAATTTTTGCTTAAGACTTTAATTAAGAATTAGGTCAGGTTTTATGTACTCTTTTTTTTGAATAAATAATTCTATACTTCTTTAACTTTACTTTTTCTGCACTCTTTTCTTTTTTTTTTACATAATTTTTGCTTAAGACTTTGATTGAGAATTAGGTCAGGTTTCACATACTCTTTTTTTTTAAATAAATAATTCTATACTTCTTTAACTTCTTTACTTATTCTGCACTCTTTTCTTTTTTTTTATATAATATTCACTTAAGACTTCAATTGAGAATTAGGTTAGGTTTTATGTACTCTTTTTTTTTGAATAAATAATTCTATACTTCTTAACTTATTCTGTACTAACTCTAACTCTTTTCTTTTTTTTTATATAATCTTCGCTTAAGATGTCAATTAAAAATTAGTTTAGATTTCGTGTACTCTTTTTTTTGAATAAATAATTTTATACTTTTTACTTATTTTGCACTCTTTTTATTATGATAAGATTATTAGTAAAACAAAATGCTAGTGTTGTAAAATCAATTAAACTTGTTAGTGTAATGTATTGTTGGTAAAATGTATTGTCAATGAAACATATTGTTGGTAAAATATATTGTCAGTGAAATATATTGTTGGTGAAATAAACATGTCGGTGAAATAATTGTTGGTAAATCAATTGTTGGTGTATTAAACATGTTGGTGAATTAAACATGTTGGTGAAATGATTGTCAGTGAATTAAGTATTGGTAAAATAAGCTTGTTGGTGAATTGATTGTCAGTGAACCAAGGTGTCAGCGAAATGAGTGCTGGTGAAATGAGCACCACTCTAGCATTAATGCTTTAGATAGACTACTTAAATTAGGCACCAAAAATGCATATATAGCTTGATATATCATTGTTGTAATTACAATATAAAATATTGTCTATATTCTAATAAAAAGTTCTCCAGACCAATAAGGTTATCTTAACACTAAAAAAAAAACAATATATAATTATAGAATTTGTTAGTTTTTTAACAATAAGTGTTAATTAATACAAAATTTGTTAAATAACTAAATTATAAAACAGTATATATTTATAGTGTTTGTTAGTTTTTTAATAGTAAGTATTAATTAATTTATAATTTGTTAAAAAACTATATTATAAAACAGTATATATTTATAGCATTTGTTAGTTTTTAACAATAAGTATTAATTAATTCATAATTTGTTAAAAAACTATATTATAAAACAGCATATAATTATAATATTTGTTAGTTTTTTAATAGTAAGTGTTAATTTATATAGTTTATTGTATTATTTATGCAGAGTAATCATATTAATTAATAGTATACTAAACTCTTTCTGATAATTATTTGAACCAATTCTTTCAATCTAAAAAAAATATAAAGTTTGTTAGAGAGATGTGTAGCTACAGTAGTAGTCTATAGTAGAGATCAACTAGCTACAGAGACTTCTTACTATTATTTAGCATACAAGCCAGAAGCCTGGTTAAGAGAAAAGGCAGATAACACTCTTGGTAAGCTCTATAGATTCTGGTAATAAATTTCTATTGACAAAGCTCTGTAGGCTACAGTTCTAAGAAGATTTTTATGGTGATTTGTGGAATTATAAAATGGTTAATCTGGCTTAGAAAACTTCGTCTCACATTTGGTATACAAGCCAGAAGCAATGCAAATGAAGGAGAAAAATGCAGATAGCACTCTTTAATGTAGCAAAATTTTAGTATAACAATGTTTCTGTTAATGAAACTACTAGGCCTTTTTTTATAACCCAGAAGTATAACAAACTTTATATTTTCTTTAGACACTCTCTTTTATTAGTTCAAATGCTCTCTATTTTATTTTTTTTGCTCTTCTGTTGGTCTTTTAAAAATTTTTTCCAAAAAGTAGGAGATTTGGCTTACCCTCTCTAAAAGATTAGTATTGTTTACATTTAAATTCAAACAGACTCAGTATATTACAACCGACATGTCTTGTTTATTAGAAGATACAGCATTACTTCATATGACTTGAATCAGGATCTTGAGTTAAGGAGGTATTTGGATTTGGCAGGTAGTTGGAAGGTATATATTAAGGCTTGGCTTTAGAATTGAAATATACAATGGTTGTAGTTGTTATATAATTTTTATTGTAACTTCATCAGGAAGTTTAAAAGATTTTAAATAACTAATAAAAAAGTATTAACCTATATAGGGTTTGTTAAACTACACTTTTTATTAATAAAATTAGTATTAAATAACAGTTTATGTGTTAAACAACTTTAGTTATTTAACTGCATATCATGTTTGTTAGCATGATACATAGTTAAATAACTAAAGTTGTTTAACATATAAAGTGTTATTTAATACTAATTTAATTAATAAAAAGTGTAGTTTAACAAACCCTATATAGGTTAACACTTTTTTGTTAGTTATTTAATACCTTTCAAACTTCCTGATGTTGGCATGGGTTATAATAATGCATTTTTCTTGTTTGTGGCAACTTTTGGGTTGCTTGGCTGCAGGTAGCTCCCACTTTGTCAGTCTTCTTGGCTTTTCTTTTTATTTTTTTTTATTTATTTATTTTCTTCTTTTTTTTTCTTTAAAATTTCCCTTTTGTTTATTTTGTTTTGTTATTAGATATAGTTCTTTTTTTTTTATAATCAGTGATTTTGTAGTGCTAGTATAAAATCATTATTTTCTTTTGCTCTCAGTAAAGAAAGAAGAATTAAAGAGATTAGCTCTTGATAGGCTGACAAGATCTACCCAACTTGTATACAAGATGGTGTGACAAGTCACTCATAAGCATAGCTTCCACAGCCAGGAGATGTCAAGCTTGCAATTAAAAGCTTAGTTTAGTTGGAATGGTTTACTGTTGTTGATTAAATAAATAAAGTTTTGTATTTGAGCTTTGACAAAATCATTAAAGAGTTTAAAAAAAAAATAATAATAATAATTAATAGTATACTATTAACTAATATATATATTGGTGATAAACAATATCTTCAAAACTTCCTAATGTACTAGCAGTATGTTTTTTTAATAAAGTTTTGCTCCAACTATAATTTTTCTTCTACCCAATTTTTGGTCACAGAGATTAGTGAAAAGTTTTTTTGTATTTTTTTCTATATTTTGTATATTAAGCTATTTATAATAAATGTAAACATATTTGTAATTATACCATATGTTTTTTATTTCAAGAAGCCTGTATTTTTAACTCTTAATTTTTTTCTATAAGTTATAATATTGTATTATAATTTTATATTTGTGAATTAGCAAATTCTTTAGTTAATTTAATTCAAGAATAAATAGCTTATTACAATTTCAATATTGCTACAGTTGAATTTTATACTTTGGATAAGTTTTGGATAAGTTTTGGAATAAGGTTTCTTATCAATTACCTTTGTTAAGCAAAATTGTCCGATTATATTTGGCTACCTATATTATCTAGTAGTGTAGAGTAAAGTTTTTCTGCATATAACAATATTTTGGATAATAATAGACAAAATCTTAACAAATAATCACTTTGTACTCTTACTATTATGTATTATAATCAACAATTGTTGTGCCATAACTAATAAAAATAAATTTTAAAAGAAAAAAAATTTTGATCACGTAACACCTAATTCTGCATTTTGATTGGACAGTCAGGCAAATCGATATAAATCAATATTTTTGACCATATCGATAATATTTTGCCAAACAAATCGATATTTTCCCGGATCCCTGGTCATAAGATGAAATATCAAGTGACCTGTGCGTGTCCGTAGACTTTCCTGTAGACTTTCCGTTTAATTTTGGTCAAATTTACGAATCTTTAAACCTGTAAATCAGAATTACCCAGTTTTGGCAAAAATCGGCCTATATTAATATGAAAACAGATGACATATGCATAACAATAAATACGTAATCGGACGATGTGACCCGTATTCATTTAAAAAATGCATGTTCGATCCTAGACTCCGAAACGGATTTTTCTTTTAAGCTATACAAAGATTCATTAACATTATACGTAGTAATAATAGAAATAATAATAGATCTTTTTCGATATGAAAAAATTTTTTTAATGATCTAGGAAAAAATATATATATATATAATTCGCGTTTTCGAAACTTGTAAAATAAAAAAAAATAAAAATAAAAATAAAAATAAAAATGGAAGCTATTCCAAATGAACTCATGATCCAAATTTTAAGAAATGTCCTTCGAGTTACTAGGTAATGATTTATGAAAAGTACATTTAAACGAATCAACCACTTTTAAAAGTATAGTTTGACATCTTTAAAATTCTTTCGAAATCCTATATTTTTCCTTTTTTTATTTTCTTTTATTATTTTTTAATTAAGTTTCAAGAAATTGATACAACTTCGAAGAACTTGCAAGGAATGGAATAATCTGATTCCAGCGGCTTGTAAAGATGAAGTCTGTGGATTTTATAAGAAATGGAAATTTCGTCGGGACAAAGTCAGTCAATTTCCTAATTCCCTAAAATATATACTGTATATAGTCTTTCTAAAATATTTTCATTTTTTTTGGTCTACGATTGTTCCCCCAAAATCAATCTTTTTTTTTTTTCATACTTTAATACTAAACCTCGAAGCAAGATCCACTATATGAAGATTTAGTTCCTTGTAAAAGCTACGATTATTTTAAATTCAAATTTAGAGATGATACATATTTAGTTCCAAATGACAATGATATTGAAAGATTTAAATCAGAAGTATTTATCAAACAAAAAATTTTTGTTGATGGGATTTATTGGTCATTGTTTACAAAGTGGGATAACAAACCATCTTCATATTGTTTATATGAAGAAGTTGTAGAATTAAAGAAAATTAAATATCTTTTATCGCCGGCTCGTGTTATTTTTGAAGATATAGATGAACTAAAAAAAAAAAGTAAGGATTATAAAAGATAATATATCGATATGTTGGTATTAGTTTATATAGATTTGAATTTTTTATTAATGTTAAATCTTTATTGTATATTATGTATTTAAGGGATAATGGGCCTTTTTAATATTGTATAGTATCATGTTTGATAGTATTTTATCAATGTAATTTTTCGAGACCAAAGTTATTTCTTGGATAAAATAATAATAATAACATCTTACTATCGTAGTAAGAACAATATACAATTATTAAATATATTTGCAAGTCATTTATTTAACACCATCATTATTGGATCATTAAATGCTAAAAATAAATTAAAAAAATTTTTGGAAAATAAGGAATTCCAATAATCCATCATGCAAGTCCACAAATCTAACCTCTACTTAATTCTTCATCCTATTCTTGCTTTAAAAAAAAAAAGTAACCAAAGAAAATATAAAAACATAAAAATCCATTAAAAATTCAACCAAAATTTACACAAACAAAAATTTACAAAATAAAATAAAATAAAAGTAAATACATATACATGCATATACATATCATACATATGCACGCAAGATATGTTACAGATCAACAAAAATACACTCTCGAAAACGTTTCTTAACCTTATAAATAAGAAATGCCTTCAAAATAAATAGCCTTTATTCAATTATAAAGATTAAATATCTCTACTCTCCAAGTAATCTCTCAAATCTTTCATACTTCCAAAATTAATGATTACTTCCAAAGCGGCCTTTGATGTCTATTATCCAAATGAAAAGCATACAAACACAGGGTGAAACGTGCATATAAGCAAACAAAAGTAGGTCATTATAGGTTGAGAAAAAGCAAATAAAGTTCATTGACGGTATATTCATCTTGTTGATAATGACAATATTAAATAACAATATTAAAATGTCACAGAGGTATGCCACAGAGGTAGTCACGAAAAAGTTTCGCCAATATATATATATATTTGTCTTTTTCAACCTATATATTGAAGATAAAAAAAAAATACATACAAGTTCAATAGCATCTTCACTAACATTATCCAAAATATCACATGCTTGATGGTAACAAGGATCTAAAGGTGCATTAGCGATTCCACCAAATTTTTGTTGAGATTTTCTGCTTTTTATTTCACTTGACCCAGTATAAATACCACCTTTATCAAAAAACATTCTAATTTATAATCAAATTCTGTATCGACTAGAACAAATAGATTTGATCTTTCAAAATAAAAAAAGACATACCTGACGGAATACTGTTTTGAATGAAAGGTAAAAAGTCACTACCACCCAACATATCAGAAATATCATAAGGTTCTCGTAATTTATCAAAGACTTTTTCTAACATGTGTTGAATTCTTATTGATCCATCCCTTGCATCAGGTGGTGCATCCGAACCTTGAAGAATCTATATCAAAAACATAATAATAGTAATTTACATATAGCGTTAATAATACACAAGTGAAAAAAAGTCCTAAGTGAAATAGGCTCGTCTGGATAAAAGTAGATCTTACAAATGGTATATAATTCGGACTTCCCAACATATCAAAATTCAAATACATTGCAATGTTTTCTTTCTCTTTACTTTTAAGCAGCTCTCTAACAAAATGTCTTGATCCTCCAAGTCCAATCTCCTCAGCTCCCCACCAAGCGAATACTAATCTATTCTTTGGTTCAAATAGTTGTTTCTCCAATGTCAAAAGAATCTCCAACAGAGTTGCAGCTCCTGAAGCATTATCAACCATACCGGGGCCGGCAGAAACAGAATCCAAATGGGCACCTAAGACTATAGTATTTTTTTTATGACCGTGATCGTTTAAATGGCATATAACATTAAATGTTTCGGTGACAAAAACTTTTGTGTAAGTAGTGATATTAATAGAGGATGATATTTTAAGTATTCGACCAAGTGAATTAGAGGCTGCAAGAACGGGTATGTTCATTAAAGGATCTAAAGATTTAAACAAATAAAAAACGTTGAAACCATGTTTTTACAACTATATACATCATCATCATCAAAGAAAAAAAAAGGGCAGGTTACCTCCTTCTTTCCATTCAGCAATTCTCACTCGAACACGTGAAAGTTTTGTTTGACCTGGTGAATTATAAAAAATAACGGCAGATGCTTTATTCTGCAAAACCCATAAAACTTTTAGTCTTTAGATAACACATTTAATGGTTGGGAAATGGTTGGGAAATAATTAGGAAATAGCGAAAGGAGATAGATAAGAAATAGACAAATACTTGTTCAGCCTTATATGCAGCGTCCCAAACGCTGAAATTTCCAAATTGAATCAGAGCAACTTTTCCTTGAACATTCCATTCAGTCTTATTATCAAGAGGATTTTGTATTTTAACAACTTCTTGAGAAACTAAGCTTGCTGCTTGACCGCCATCTCGCATGCCTAATCAAAAATATGAACATAAAAACAAGGAAAAAATAACTACCTTTATGATAATAGATACAAAGCATGTATCACAGATTTTATTTCTACATGAAAATACTCACTCCAAAAATCGATACCTCCTTGAAACGCAACTATTTCATCAGGGTTACCAAAAGAAACGCTTAACTCTGCTTCTTTTTCTTTCTCCCAAATAGGTACTTTAAAATATTGTAATTTCACGTCACAATTTGTTTTATTAATTAAAGTACTAATAATATATTCTGCTGATGCATTATATCCATTAGTTATTGAACGAGAATTTTTATTTGAATGTTTTGCAATTTCATTTAATGCTTTTAAATGGGAAAATATATTTGGAGTTAGATCTGTAGGCCAAGGTTCAATCGGATGAGCTTTTTTTTTTTTTAGAAAAAAATATGGTTAAAAATTGAAAAAAAAATTTGATCATAATCAAATTTAATAGAATAGACGAATTTAGCTTACGAGTATTATGCGGTACGAATACGACAAATAAGACAAACCCAATAATTAATATAAGAATTGCAATAAGACCCAACGGAATTTTCCCAAAACGACCATCACGCATATCTTGCGGTTCTTTATTTCAAACATGAAGTCAAATATAATTAAAAACATAATTGAACAAACATATCGCGTTAAGAGATGACCGCAAAATTACCAATAAAATCATCATTCCTAATATCCCTAAGCAAAGGAGATTGTTCAGTAGCCATTTCTTGTAAATCTTGTAAAGCAAAGAATATCAAATAAAAAATCCATTAAGGGGAATTTATAAATTATTGGTACATATTTAAGTGTGACAATGATCGTTAGTTTTATTAAAGAAAACTGAGATCCGAAAATCTGGATTTAATCCCGTGATAGCAAAACGTGGGGAAATAAGTTTTCTAGGCTTCTCGATTTTAAGCACATGGTCAAAGCCTTATTCCAAATTAATGAAAGAATCAGTGCTTGGTAACATGATTTTGTACGAATGAGCATGAATGTAATACAATGATGACAAATTAATACAAATTGTTACCCAAAAATTTTAACTATATTTTTTTACGATCAACTTGTTTCTCATTTTATTTACAAGCATTCTACTAACAACTTTCCATCGAAATTAACTCATTTTGTTTCAATCTGCAATACTTTATTCATCTTAATGCTAATTTACGTAATTTACGTAATTTACGCCTTATCTAAATTCGTTTGATAATCGATTCATATAAATAAATACTACGTATTACATAATGATACGTATTATTATTTATTATTAAATTAATACATATTAGGGTAATTATATAATAATGTGTTTAATGGTAACAATAATAGAAATTAGAGCAATAATTATCTGTATAAATTTGTAGTTAACTCAATATTTATTATATCGATATTTTGAGTAAATTTCACTCTCACGTGAATTGTAGCCTATTTTTTAATTATCTTAGTTATGCTTTTTAATACATTTTATCTATTTAGGCGCAAATTTGGCGCAAAGTTATATCGAAAGATTCGGTATAACCAATATTATTTGCGCACGTGATTTAAGTACGTTTCGTGGAACCTCCTAATACTGTACGTATTAGTATTAGTATTGATTTAAAACTCGGTTTCACAGTAACATAGCTTTTTTAAACAACCAGTGATCTCTATTAATACTATATTGTGTGTTTCTTATAAAACACAACTTTCTATATGATATGTGTAATAGATATTTCCGGTCCTGCCCGTAATATCTGATTAAAAAATTTTTACTGATGACTTCATGCCTGTGGAATAATTTTTGATATTTTCACGGTATTATGTCATCATAAAGATATTATTATCAGAAATGTTCACGGGCGAACGTATAATAATCAATATATACGTACTAAATACACTATATATATATATAAATCTAAACTATATATGGTATCAAGTAAAATTTATACATATCAAAGATTTTTGGATTTTTGTGTAACAATGCAATCGACATGTCAAATTTCGAATTTTACACAAACCAATGCTAAGTTTCAAAGAAACCAAATAAGTCTTTCTATTAAGAAAAAAAAATCTCAGTTAAAAATTTTTTTGAACAAATGAAGTAACGATAACATGTAGAAAAAAAATGGAATTTCTATAAATAATATAAACAAACTTTGTAACTTTGTAAATAAAATGACAACGAACCGATTCATATTAAAAAAATCTTTACTTTACTAAAAAGAAATATGTGACCTGTGCATCTAAAAAAGTGATATCTGACCTTTACATTATATACTAAATAAAATTTATAAGGAACCACACAGTTTTGATTTACATAGTATATCACATGCTCCAGTGCGCTAAGCAACTGAGTCACTATCGATTCTTTTTGGTAAAATAACATATGTATGTATGTGTAGCTATGTGAACTCGTATCAAACTAGAAACGTAGTTAACGATTTTTAACAAGAATACCATTGAAAATTATTCTCAATCACCTACCTCAATGAATTCAATAACGAATCTGATTGGTCTGTTTGGTCAAACTAGCCAATCAGCTTTTTTATTGAATTCATTGAGTGAGAACGCCTTTAATCAAGATTGTGTAGTAAAACTCGATTTAACCATACACTCATTCCACTACATTCCTAATATTAAAATATCTACAAAAATAATGTGTATGCTAGAGAATTTTTAAATTTTATAAATTTATTGTCATTATCGTTATTTAATATATAATTTGTATGGATATCTATTCAATAAAAAAGTAATAAGAGCTAATTGTATAGTAAAAATATCCACAAAATGAACCTGAAATGAAAATTTTAATATGTATTATTTATTTGTAAACCGATTTACATATGTTAAAACCGATAAGACCAGTTTTAACATGTGAAAAATTAAACCGGTTCCAAACTCTAATATGATTATGAAATGTTACTCGTACAAATAAATATATATAGTTTTCTACTTCAAGCTTCTTTTGTGAATCTTTTTATTATAAAATTAGCTTTTATAACTTATAGTAAAATTCAAAACTCAAATAAAAAAATTTTTGAAATTTGTCAAAATAGGCTCTTTTAATACTGTATTTTCGCATAATAACGCTCCTGGTTATTATTTAGAATAATATCTGAATTAAGCTTAATTTGGCCAAAATTTGAAATTATAACCCCTGTGCATTATTTCTCAAAAATATGGTATCAGGTATGTAAAACCTCAATATTATTATACAATAAATAATTAATATATAAAAAGAAAATATTGTAATTGGAGATTATCACTTTGTAATCAATTTAAAAGGTGTTGTAAAAAATTTTAACATTATCTAAATATAGATTAATAATATAAAGTGTTATTACCAAGCAAACCCGGGTTTATTACTGGCTAAAATAAGCTGTTTGCTAGGTACAAAGCTTAGTATAGTCTTTAGTTGAAATATTTGAACAATACACTTTTTTTGAATACAATTAGACCTCATTATAGTCTCTCTCAATATAGTCACAATCTTGTTATAATCACGCTATTTTTTTTTAATCTTGCTATTACAAAACATATAAATCTTAACCTTTATATAGACATAACTTTTTATAACCACCATAATTTTGTCTTCAATCTGGTGATTATATCAAGGTCTAACTGTAATTCTTTATTAAAACAACAACAAAAATACTTAAAATTATATTTGCTTCTTTACTATATATAACAATTTATTTTAATTTATTTTTTAATTTATCTACTCTTGTTTTTAATAATAAGGTAGATATGATATATAAAATTATTATACAGTATTTGTAACTAAATTAATACAGTGCATAAAAGCTAAAGACAGATATAAAATTCAAATCTTTACTACACTTTTTCAAATAATTTTTTTAATTGTAATTCATTGTTATTTAATAGAAATAACTATGCTGAACCTAATAACGATTAGTTTTACGCAAAGTTCAAGATACAAAAAAAGTTATAGATACTTAAAGTTACTAATTGTTACTAGCAATTGCTGCGAATTTGAAACATCACGTGATCTAAAAATCTGCATTCTGATTGGTAGCAGATCATCAAATAAATCATTACTCGATAAAAAAAAATTTATATTTCGCAATTGTAATATCAGAGGCATGTAAAGCCAGAAGTTGTTTTTTAGAGCCCAAAAAAAGCTGGCCGGCCAGAATCTTAAATAACAAAAGCGCCTGAAAGCACTGTCACGGGCAGAATAAACTGTGATCAACTAAAAACGTGACCCAAATGACGATCGGGTCCCAGATCGGTGAACGATCTGCGATTATGGCGCAACAACGATGCCCCGGG